TTCTGAAAGCCCCAAATGTGAAACTAACATTGAAGATTCTATATAATTTCGGAAAATTTTGAAACTTTTTTTTAATATGAAATTTTAACCAAATTTTATGTGTCAAATTTTGGGAAATAGATTGTAATATTTTTTTTGTTACTTCCAATTTTTTAGCTTTTACTACATCCATTTTAGTTTAGAAATGCGACAAACATTAATTTTATTAATTTTTTTACATTTTTGATGACTCCTCGTACATATTTTCCACTTAAAATTTTGAAAATTTTGTGAAACTGTCATTTAAAAATCCATCTCATTTGGAAAAATTGTTTCTTTTGAAGACCGTTGTATTTTTAACTCAAAATTTTGTAACATTTCTGAAAGAGCCAAATGTGAAAGTAACATTGAAAATTCCGTATAATTTCGAAAAATTTTAAAACTCTTTTTTTAATATGAAAAATAGTTGAAATTCTTCTTTTGTTACTTCCATTTTTTTGACTTTTTTGATGACTCTTCGTATTTTCAACTTAAAATTTTGAAAATTTTATGTAATTATCATTTAAAAATCCATGTCATATTTATTTAAAATTTTGTTTAAATTTTATGTATCAAAGTTTAACTTTTTGATGACTCCTCCTGTTTCTAGCTCAAAATTTTAACAATTTTTTGAAGCCTCAAAATTTGAAATTATGCAACTGAAAAATCTTATACATACATCGAAAAATTTGGAAACGCTTTTTTTATATGAAATTTTGACTCAATTTTCTGTATGGGATCTTTGAAATAGGCAAAACGTTATTTATAGAGTACATTTTTACTTCCCGAGCGTAAGCAAAGGAAGTATTGTAATCGAGTCCGTCGGCCGACTCTCTACTTTTACGTTTTCTCGATCTTTCATGACCCCTAGAAGACGAAGAAATAGGTCTCCCATTTCCGTCTGTCTGTCCGTCTGTCCGTCTGTCCGTCTGTCCGTCTGTCCGTCCGTCTGTCCGTCTGTCCGTCTGTTGTCACGGATTTTTATTAGACAGATAATCTCCGAAAGTACTCGACCGATTGTTGTGAAATTTTGTACTTATATTAAGAATATCATGTAGATGGTAAAACGCTAACCAAAATTTGTCGAATCATCCCCACCACTAAAGCGATGACGTCACTTCAAAATTGTACATAGTAAATGGGTTTTCAATTGTATAAAATAACATAGTCCTACACATGTAGTTTACAGCTCTGAATCGACTTTTCACCCCAAACGTCCAGATTTTTGGAAAAAAAATCAAAATTATAAAACAACATTTTGAAATTTAATTTTTAATCTGCTAACCAGAATGCTTTGAAATGTTGCAGATGTTTTAAGGCTATAAAGAGCATCATAAATCTTTAGTCAAAAAATATTTGCTTATCCCCTCCAAAAACTTGATGACGTCAGCTCAAAAGTTTGTGGAATAAATCATATCTAAAATGTACAAAATATGATGAGTCTGTACTTGTGAACTATCACTCCATTAATATTTTTTGGATTTGCATATACAGGGTGACTCAAAAAAAATAATGAATGCGTAAATATATTTTATTGATTTAATCAGGAACTACAAAACCGAATGCTCTGAAATCTTGCAGATGTTTTAAGGTCATAAAGAGCATAATAAATGTTTAGTCAAAATATATTTGCTTATCCCCTCCAAAAACTTGATGACGTCAGCTCGAAAGTTTGCCGAATAAATCATATCTAAAATGTACAAAATATGATGAGCCTGTACTTGTCATTTATCACTCCATTCATATTTTTTGGATTTGCATATACAGAGTGACTCAAAAAAATTAATGAATGGGTAAATTTATTTTATTGATTTAATCAGGAACTACAAAACCGAATGCTTTGAAATCTTGCAGATGTTTTAAGGTTATAAAGAGCATAATAAATTTTTAGTCAAAATATATTTGGTTATCTTCTACAAAAAACTGATGACGTCAGCTCAAAAGTTTTCCGAATAAATCGTATCTAAAATGTACAAAATATGATGAGTCTGTACTTGTGATTTATCATTCCATTCATATTTTTGGATTTGCATATGCAGGGTGACTCAAAAAAATTAATGAAAGCGTGAATTTATTTTATCGATTTAATCAGGAATTACAAAACCGAATGCTTTGAAATCTTGGGAATATTTTAAAGTTATTATAAGCATGGTAAACTTTTGTTCAAAATGTATTTGTTCATCCCTCCTAAAAAAATTGATGACGTCACCCTTAAATTTTGCTGAATAAATCCTATCTAAAATGCAAAAAATATGATGAGTTTGTACTTGTGATTTATCATTCCATTCATATTTTTTAGATTTTCTTAAGAGGTGGTTCAAAAAAATTAATGAAGTCAATTTATTTTATTGATTAAATTAAAGGCAACACTTATTATTAGTATTACACCCCAACCAACCCAATTTGGTAGACACAAAATTTGTTAAAGGAAAAACTCGGTTGAAACATAAGGGTAGCACGCTTATTTACATCGACTTTAGCATTACAGACCTGCATTTGTTTTATGCGTTCACTTGATTCCGCGAATGTGAAATAGACATGTTTATAATCAACCAATTGTGAATTTCACCGTCAAGAATTAAAATAAAACCCAATGTTTTATATAATAAGCGGAAGTCGAAGCAATAAAACCGACGGTCGTTTTGTTTACAGTTTCTGTGTTTGGCTCTCACGTATGCTGTTACGCCTGTCATCTTAAATTAACAATGTTTATACATACACGATTTTCAGTTGCCTCTGATACGTAGGTATACGTGAGTAAATTGTTTCGTTATTTTATTGATTATTACAAATCAATATTCAAACGACCCAATTCATTTTCCCGAAAATTTGAGAATATAATAATTTTATTCTTAGTATTACACTACATCTATCCCAACTGATATACGTGTCCTTGCAAAAATGTTGATGACGTCATCGCAATTTTTTTTTAAATTCCCACTACAAAAATGTAATGAGAAAAAAAACACAATAGGCATGCAGTCGTCAAGTTTCCGACAGCGAGGGAAGTACTGTCTAAACTCTTTAGACCAATTTTTTATTTTTTTAATGGCTCTTCGTATCTTGAAGTCACAATTTTAAAAATTCATGTCATTTCACAAAATTTAGAAACCCCTTTTTTATACAGAAATTTGAATAAACTAATTTTTATAAATATAAATACGCTAATTTTTATATTTAAATGACTCTGAACAACACAGGCTTGTGATATCTAATATATTTTTAAATATGGTGACTATAGTTCCAGTTTTGAAATCGTGAATATTCAACATAGTTTCGGACTCCGAATGGCCACAAAAACTACTTTTTCAATAAAACCCTCAACTAAACAGTTATAACATAATGACGATTTATTTGATCCATTTTCCTCCAGTGTTCAAACTTCGTAAATTATAAATTTATTACACAACCCTCAATTGTTACACTATGAATGCATAAGTGCAAACAACACTTCTACTATTTCCCACATTCGTGAATATTTTACGCAATTCTCCAATCCAGTGTTCTGAAATCCTACGAAATAAGTCCGTTACAATTCAATTCAAAATGTTTAGAACGAAAGTGTTTAGCTCTTTGTCAATAAGTCAGCCTTGGATGACGAAACACCCTGTATAAAACCCCACCGGTAAATCGCATCATCGCTATAAAAACCCAAGGGTTCTGATAGTCCGACCCGACCATCTTTTACAAAATTAATAGACTACTAGATAAAACAAAAAGATCTCGTCCTTTCCGGTAAAAATACCTGCTTGTCAAACCTTCAGACGATAACAATAAAGTGACAGTTCAAACACAGAAACACTTTTAGGATACCACTCGGCATGTCAGAAATTTATCTTAGTGAAAAATGTGTTCCCAAGATAAAAAAAATAGCGTAAGGATCATAATTATTTATTTTTTGAATTAAATATTTTTTACGGAGTTTATACGAAAACATTTAAAATACGAAACTAGAGCAGTTCGAAACCTCAGTAAAACCGGCATGTGAAAGAAGATAAAGCATCTATTTATAACCCGACCATTAATTACAATTAGACGTAATTAATCAGTGAATTTTATTCTAGCGCTATATCATCAGATCCAGTTTTAATTACCCGGGATTATCGCACATTCCAAGCAAACAAGACCACTAAAAAACAAACAATTTTTTTCCACGGGATTAGGAATCGGTGCGTTTTTTGCCACAACGTGCTCATCTACACCACAAAAACAGCACGAAAGCGTCGATTTAAACATCAAACTTTTACTCGACGCCGGTAACAACGGTTTATTTTCTCTTTCAAGGAACGTTTATTTATTCTAGAGATTTCTGCATGCAAAGCAACTATGCAATAGTTCGGAATAATGAAAATACCACCGCTTGAATGTAATAAATCAGGCGTAGTTTCCACCGGAGCTCAGCAGCAGTCTAATTTAATTATTTAATTCGTACAGAGGGCCATAATTAAAAGAACAAAATAACCCGGGCTTTCTTGACACACACGCAGACGATAATTAGGTACGTTATTTACTGTCCAGACAAGGTCAAAGAAAATATTTTTTATCAACAGATTAATTTATCAAGTAAACAGTTAGTACGATTATTTGAAATCCTCGCCCACGTTTCGGGTTTCACGAGGGTTAATTTTTCAGGAATCGGGCAAATCGCACTGCGGTGCGACCAAACGTTAATAACCCAGCAACAGCTACAAACAGGAAGTGATATAATCGCATCAAGGATAATCTATGGACTCCTTTCTGGAAACTCTGGACTCGGACCCAGCTCGAGGCCTGTACCATTATGTTATCGCAAATTTTGTTATGTAAATAAACACAGTTCAATCACAATGGGGATATTAATAATGTTACAAAGGCAAGGGTTGTTTTGAGACGTAACACTGCGATGGAAATTATGTTTGGTAATTTGATGGGGGAGAGTGGTTGCGGTGGGGGAGATAAGAAAATTCCGAGCGCTAATTGCGGGCTAAAAATAGAAAAACTACCTGAAGTCCCCACATTTCCGGCGGATTGATGAGGTGAGTCCGGTTCTGGTAATATGCACTAAGTTCACTAATCACTCGGGGTTGACACGTGCACGTCCAGGTTTATTTATACGCGTGTTCCGAAGCACTGCTGAACGCACCCACGATCACCGACTTTCAGCACATGACTGAAGTTTGTTTGAATTTGTTGTCTTCAGGAGTTTGTTCTGTGCGCCTGTCAACAGCGCTCCGCCTTCCTAGCTCCTGTGTTAACTTTCGACTGTGTTGAGCCAGCGGCGGGGAAGCTGGTGGGACGAGAATGGGCAGAGGTTTTTTAGCAACTTTTTTCTTGAGGTAGTGAAATTTGCATTACTAAGTGTGGCCTCAGTACCGGCGAAGAATTAAATTAAATTAGTTAAATGAAAATTAAGGTTGGTGTCAATGTCGTTTATTAATAACTGGCTGCGAGGTATATTGTAATTAATGGAAGCATTTCTTTCTGGAGTAATTTTTGGAGAGCGTTCTCTGGTCAATGTGATTTTTAATTTGTTAGCAAGGAACTTACCTTGTTTGGTGGCCCGTGGACTAGTATTTTTTTATTTAATTATTTATTTTTATTGCATTATTTTAATAGAGATTTTGAATAAAAGGATTGTGAATCAATCATATAAAAAATTGCCCGTTGTTATTCCGATAGAACTTCCATCGCCTTTGAAGTTAATATTGTAAACAGCTTACTTAGCACATTTTTAGACAACGTCATCATCAAAGTCTTAGTGGGGATAGATAGATTCTTAATCTTTATTCGCGATTTATTAGGGTCATGATAAACAGAGCGGGAAAAAATTAGACAAACCCCTGAAAAACCAAAATTTGCTTCAGAGTACATAAAATTTTGATTCGATCACCGGCGTACTATTTTATTAAAAAAAATTAGAAATTTAAGTTGGAATCTGGGATCTATCAAGAGAATATCATTTTAGACCATACCTATAGTTAAAACCGAGTATTAAACTAAATATTATATTATTTTTAAATTTCATTTTGGTTCACTTTTTGAAGACCAATTATAGTGTTAAAATTTTAAGTGCCCATTTTTTTATTCCACTGATGGTACCACGGCCATTGGAAAATTCCCGATTTTCAGGTGGTACCACCCACCCCTACCCGTGATGTCTTTGAAGTGATTTGAAGGAACGTCAGGAATAAGTTTCTGTGTAATGTTTTTGAAGTACTTAGTTTAAAAAATCTTGGGGACTCTTTGTGTTTGGTTTTTGAAGTCGTTTAAAAGAGAAAATAGTCTCTAGAACCACTTGTGTTTTTCAAGTAATTTGAAAGAATTTCGAGGACTCCATGTGTCTGGCTTTTGAAGTAGTTTGAAAGACTTTAAGACCCCACTTTTGTTTTGTTTTTGATGTGGTTTGAAACGATTTCGAGCATCTCTTTTCAGTCTTGAATTTAAAGTAATTTGAAGAGTCTCGGGGATCCTTTGTGTTTTGTTTTTGAGGTAGTTTGGAAAGATCTCGGGGACTCCTCGTAGGTCTTTTTTTTTTTAATTTTAAAGAATCTCGGGAATATTTCTGTGTACTCTTTTTAAAGCAGTTTAAAGGAATCTCGGGAACGCCTTGTGTTTTGTTTTTGAAAAAATCTCGGTAATCCCTGTTGGTCTTGTTTTTGAAGGAATTTGAAAGAGTTTCGGAGACCCCTTTTGTGTTTTGTTTTGAGGTAGTTTGAAAGGATTTTGGGGACCACTTGTATTTTGTTTTTGAAGTAGTTTAAAAGAATCTCGAGAATATTTCTGTGTGCTGTTTTCAAAGCAATTTAAAAGAATGACGGGGATTCCCTGTGGGTCCGATTTTGAAGTAATTTGAAAAAATCTCGAAGGCCCCTTTTGTTTTGTTTTTGAACAAGTTTGAAACAATTTCGGGCATCCCTTATAAGTCTTGATTTTGAAGTAATTTGAAAGAGCCCCGGGGGATCATTTGTGTTTTACTTTGAGGTAGTTTGAAAGGATCCCGAGAACCACTTGTGTATGGTGTTTGAAGTATTTTGAATGAATCTCGGGAATATTTCTGTGTACGGTTTTTAAACAACTTATAGGAATCTCCGGGACTCCATATAGGTCTTGTTTTTGAAGTAGTTTGCAAGAATCTCGGGGAGCCCTTGTATTTTCTTTTTGAAGTAATTTAAAAGAATCTCGAAGACCACTTATGTTTTATTTTTGAAGTAGTTTGAAAGAATCTCGAGGATCCCTTGTGTCTGATTTTTGAAGTAGTTTGAAAGAATCTCGGGGATCTTTCTGTGTACGGTTTTTAAACAACTTAAAGGAATCTCCGGGACTCCATGTAGGTCTTGTTTTTGAAGTAGTTTGAAATAATCTAGAAGACCTCTTGTGTCTAGTTTGAAAAAATCTCGGGGACCTTGTGTTTTGTTTTTGAAGTAGTTTGCAAGAATCTTGGAGAGCCCTTGTATTTTCTTTTTGAAGTAATTTGATAGAATCTCGAAGACCACTTATGTTTTATTTTTGAAGTAGTTTGAAAGAATCTCGAGGATCCTTTGTGTCTGATTTTTGAAGTAGTTTGAAAGAATCTCGGGGATCTTTGTGTTTTGTTTTTGAGGTAGTTTTAAAAGATTTCGGGGACTCCTTGTATTTTGTTTTTGAAGTAGTTTGAGAGAATCTCGTGAAGTTCTTGTGTCTGATTTATGAAGTAGTTTGAAAGAATCTCAGGGACCTTTTATGTTTTGTTTTTGAAGTAAGTAGTTTGCAGGAATCGCTAGGACCCCATGTGTCTGGTTTTTGAAGTAGTTCGAAAGAATCTCGGGGACCCTTTGTCTTTTGCTTTTGAAGTACACGGGTTGCAAGGATCTTGGGAATCCCTGTAGTTCTTTTTTGCAGTGATTTGGAAAAAAGTCCTGTAATCCTTGTGTTTTGTCTTTGAAGTAGTTTGAAAGAATCTCCAGAACTCCTTGTGTCTGGCTTTTGAAGTAGCTTGAAAAAATTTAAGGAGCCCTTTGTGTTTTCTTTTTGGAGTAATTTGAAACGATTTCAGACGTCCCCTGTAAGTCTTGATTTTGTGGTAATTTGAAAGAGCCTCGGAGACCCTTTGTGTTTTAATTTTGAGGTAGTTTGAAAGGATCTCGGGACCCCTTGTATTTTGTTTTTGAAGTAGTTTGAAAGAATCTCGAGAATATTTCTGTGTATGGTATTTAAAGCAATTTAAAGGAATCTCGGGTACCCCCCGTAGGTCTTGTTCTTGAAGTAATTTGAAAGAATGTCAAGACCCCCCTTTTGTTTTGTTTTTGAAGTAGTTTGAAAGAATCTCGAGGATCTTTTGTGTGTGTTTTTCAGGAAGTTTGAAAGAATGTTGGAGACACTTTTTGTTTTGCTTTTGAAGTAGTTTGAGAGATCTCGTCGAGTTCTTGTGTCCGATTTATGAAGAAGTTTGCTAAAATCTCGAGGACCTTTTATGTTTTGTTTTTGAAGTAGTTTGAAAAGATTTCTTAGACGCCTTGTATTTTGTTTTTGAAATAGTTTGAAAGAATCTCGGGAATATTTCTGTGTACGGTATTTAAAGCAATTTAAAGGAATCTGGGGTACCACTTGTTGGTCCTGTTTTTCAAGTAATTTGAAAGAATCTCGAGGGCCTCTTTTGATTAGTTTTTGAAATAGTTTGAAAAAAGCTCGACCACCCTTTGTGTCTGATTTTTGAAGTAGTTTGAAAGAAACTCGAGGATCTTTTGTGTTTTTGTTTCTGAGGTAGTTTTAAATGATTTCGGGGACCCCTTGTAGGTCTTTTTTTTAAGTAATTTGAAAGAATCTCGAGGACTCCTTTTGTTTTTTTTTATCTTTGTGTCTGGTTTTTGAAGTACCTAGTTTGAAAGGATCTCGGGGACTCTTGTGGTTCTTTTTTGCAGTAATTTGGAAGAATTTTGAAATTCCATAATCCTTGGGTCTTGTTTTTGAAGTAATTTGAAAGAATCTCGGGGACTCCTTGTGGTTTGTTTCTAAAGTAGTTTGAAACAATTTTGGGCATCTCCTGTAAGTCTTGATTTTGAGGTAGTTTTAAAAGACTTCGGGGACTCCTTGCAGGTCTTTTTTTTAATAATTTGAAAGAATCTTGAGGACTCCTTTTGTTTTTTTTTTTAAGTAGTTTGCAGGAATCTCGAGGAACCCTTATGTCTGGTTTTTGAAGTACCTAGTTCGAAAGGATCTCGGGGACACTTGTGGTTCTTTTTTACAGTAATTTGGAAGAATTTTGGAATTCCGTAATCCTTGTGTCTTGTCTTTGAAGTAATTTGAAAGAATCTCGGAGACTCCTTGTGTTTTATTTTTGAAGAAGTTTGAAAGAATCTCGAAAATTCCTTGTGTCTGGCTTTTGAAATACATAGTTTGAAAAAATTTAAGGGACCCCTCGTGGTTTGTTTTTGAAGTAGTTTGAAACAATTTCGGGCATCTCCTGTAAGTCTTGATTTTGAATTAATTTGAAAGAGCCCCCGGGGGGACCTATTGCGTTTTTACTTTGAGGTAGTTTGTTTTTAAAGCAATTTAAAGGAATCTCTGGACCCCTTGTGTTTTATTTTGAAAAAATTTCGCGAACCCCTATAAGTCTTGATTCTGAAGTAATTCGAAAGAGTCTTGGACCACTTGTGTCTGGTCTTTGAAGTACTTTGAAAGAATCTCTGGAATATTTCTGTGTACGGTTTTTAAACAATTTAAAGGAATCTCGGGGACTCTATATAGTCTTGTTTTTGAAGTAGTTTTAAATGATTTTGGGGACCCCCTGTAGGTCTTGTTTTTGAAGTAATTTGAAAGAATCTCGGAAACCTTTTGTGTTTTGTTTTTGAGGTAGTTTGAAAGGATTTCGAGGACTACTTGTATTTTGTTTTTGAAATAGTTTAAAATAATCTCGGGAATATTTCTGTGTACTGTTTTTAAAGCAATTTAAAGGAATCTCAGGGACTCCTTGTAGGTAATATTTTGAAGTAATTTGGAAGTATCTCGAGGCTCTTTTTGTTTTGTTTTTGAAGTACCTTGAGAACCCTTGTCTTTTGCTTTTGAAGTACCTAGTTTGAAAGAATATTGGGGACCCCTTGTGTTTGTTTTTGAAAAAAATCTCGACAACCCTTGCAGGTCTTGTTTTTAAAGTAATTTGAAAGAATTTCAAGGGCCGATTTTGTTTTGTTTTTGAAGTAGTTT